ATCCTTCATCCGACTTTCTACCATGCCAGATACTCCCTAAGGAAACACCTATGCAAGAGTAGGAGCCTGACAATCCACTTAATGATCCTATCGACGTCGAAGGTGATCTTGTTGCTGTCGACACTCAGACTGTTAATTCCCTAGTTTGGCATACAACTGATGGTAAGGAGGTTATATGTCCCTTTTATTCTTCTGCAATAACCATGAACTAAAAATTTTCCTTGATATTGCAGATATCAATGCTGAAAGCTCAGAGCCGATTCAACCAAATATTATTGGTGCATCATCAGCTGTTCCTCCTCTTCAGATAGAAGCTTCAGAGAAGGTATTGTGTCTTCTTCACCATCCACTTTGTTATAAACTAATTCAAACCTCCTAATCAAGATTTTTTTGTACATAGGCACTCAATCTTCCAGCTCTGAGCTATTCTTTCAATCTTGAGGAGTATCTTGATGAAGATGAAATCAGATCATCAGCCACCTCTTCCAAGGAAGCTTTGCTAGAAGAGACCAGAAACCAGCTAAGAGATATATTGCCAATATTTGAGAAGAATATGGCCGATCTGGTCCAATACACTGATTTGATGCAGAGAGTCTTCTTGGCCATTAAGGGTAATCCGTCCCCAGCTCTCTCTAGAGTTTTGTCACCTTTATCTATTTTTTGAAGATCAGGTCCTGAAGGTGAAAAAGGCTCAGAGGAATCTGTTCGATCGTGAAATTTTATTGGCCAAGGGAAACTCCAACAGGCAAGAGGCCAAAGAGCTGACACAGTTGATTGATCATTTGAAAATTCCTCCTTCAGCATCGACCCAGAGTTGTCTCAACTGGAAATCAAGCGTGAAGAACTTGAGAAGGAGCTAGAAAACGTGAAGGCTGCCATTGATCGTCATAAGTCCACCTTGGCTTAAATACCCAATTCCATCAAGCAAAAGAAACAAGAACTGCTGGCCAAGGTCAGAGAAGGCAGAGCCATCCGAAGTAGCCTCGAGAGTAGTCCTGGATCAGCCGAAGAAGATAAGCGACAAATCGTAGAAGTTGATGCTATCCGGCTAGAAATGTGTTGAAAGCAATCCAGAATGTTCTAGACTTGTAATCCATATATCATATATCTTGTGTAGGATCAATGGTAACCATACTTTTTGTTGCCTAATTGTACTTCTTACTTTCGGCTAAAGAGCTGATTTGAAAATAGCCGATCACAGACTTCCAATTTTAAACCAATTAAGTCTAAAAACACGGCCTTTATTATTAAGGGAACCCCCCGCGAAATGTGTACCTAAGTTGTACCAAAGGTGACCTATGGTGACCGTTGATCTGGTCTGTTTGGGTTTGTGTTAGAAATAAATTCCCAACTGGTTGAAATCGATTCGAATCGCCGTCTCTCCCGGACAGTGAGAAACTTGGCTAGCTCCAATATCGTAGTAACTGTGATATGGAACATGATGATTCGAATGAACATGGAATTACTACATCGGCTATGGTTACTATTGTATGCTATTAAATGATATGCTACATGTTTGGTACAGGTTAGTTGCTAATCTAGAGATGAATAGCTATAATTAACTTGATGACCGAATTATAATTGTACAACTGAGATTAGTCGCTTTTTATGCAAAATATTGTTAAGCTACCTCCACTTATAAAGCCTTGCATAATCCTTAGAGTCACTTTGTTTTTGGTTTATGACGGGTAAGTCTAGCTGAGTACCTTCTCGTACTAAGGGTTTTATTCCCATTGTTGCAGATGGTACAGTTTATCATGGCTATTGCAAAAACTGCTTATGTCCCTCCGTTGACGAGGAATGAGCCCTCAGTCATCTCTTATTAATCCTTATATGCTTTTGTGGGAGTATGATCACGAGCTGACACTATGTATTTGAACTATGATGGCAGATGTTAGTTTTAAACTTTAAATTGCTTTCGCTACTATTTACTGAACTTGGTTTGTAATAACCTTAATTCGTACTCTGATGAATGAACTGTATTTGTGAACCTTATGTAACATGCGACATGTATATTGAATCATGTACGATCTTGGTTGTATGTTGATGGTTAATCGAGACCCATCGTGGTACTCGACGGACTACCGGATTTATATAGGCTCAAGTATGACAGTGTGACCGCTTGCGAACTGCTATTATACTTGTGGTCTTATAAATTGGTCGGTTCTGCTACATAATATCCCACAACACCACTAAACAAGCCACATAGCCCATAATCCCAATTCCCACATACATAGCCTCCCCTTGGCCTTTTTGCTTCCGCCTCCCCGATGCTACTCGATTACAAATTCCCAATTCCACATGAGCACGAGACTGTGACGCGAAACCCTACCTAGGACGTTGGGCACCCACTGCCGACCGCTCCCGCTCGACTATCTCGCATCGGCGTATCACCCGAGGGACAGAGGAGGTGCGGGCCATGAGAGTCACGAGGTACGGCAGACCGACATCGACAACACAGGCTATGTCAGTAGCCAGCAGGCGGAGGCCACAGTGGCGGAGCTTTGGAGGTGCTTGGGGGGTAGCACCACAGTAGCGGAGGACAGCCTGGTCGCCTGGGGGCGCTGGGCGCCTAGGAGTCTAGGACTCGTCGGACGATCAGACAAATTGATCTGCACTGTAGCTAGTCGGTGGCAGTGGTAGGTGATTTGTCGATTTTATGAATTATTTATTGTTCTCTGTGGTTTGATGAAATAATAAAGTATTTGTTTAAAGATTGAATGATGTATTGAATATGTGAATACTAAGTGTAGACGAAAGATGTGACAGATATGCAGACTATTTCAACAGGGAACAAAGCTTGGAGTTTAGTATAAAGCCTCCGCGCAACTCCACCTTCAATAGGGCCACAACCCAGAGGTATTTTCAATAGGGGCCTTGGCTGACTCCAGGTAGAAGGGCAACAGCCCATAGGTATTTTCAACAGGGCCATGGCTGACTCCAAAACTAGGGTAGGTCAGCCCGACTGGTCGAACCAGACCTAACCGGGGTGTCTCACCCACTTGGCATACTCAGCGAGCACGAACAGCTTATGTTATTCTATGTATTATGAATAACTATTGTATACGAAAAGAAGCATGTTAGTATCTATTATATCAGTTTAATACAACAAAACTAAAAGGGACCCTCACATTTATTGAGAGAGTATAGAAGTTACGTGATTAATAAAAAAAAGGAAAAAGTATGCACAATTGGATTTATGATAATCTATTTGTCCACATTTATTAGAAATTAAGAGATTCATTAAAAAAGAAAAAAAATGCACTGTTGAATTTTACGATGATCTAATGGTTAATATTAAAGCAAAAAATACACGTTACTAAAAGAAAACTTTTCGGCACAATTTTGAAAAAGAATCCATGTCAACTGATAAACAAAATATGTATGTATGTATATAGTAAAGTGATGATGGCTAGCGCAAAGCCATGACCGCGAGCCGCCAACAAGCAAAGGAAAGGATGGAGGAGGCGATGGCACAATCAAACGAGCTAAAAAGATTGATTCTTTCACTACTTCATCCACGCAGCTATGTTGACATGGTTTGATGCTACGTGGCATGTTGATGCTGAGGAAGCGTCCCCACACCATGCTAGGGAGAACGGATTGCACCGATCAGGTCATCAGATTGCATGAATTGTAGACAAGTCAATCTACCGATCGTGTTCGATTCGGTGAACGTGGTTCGAAGTGAGAACAATTAATCGACTAGCATAGAGATCAACAATTGCATCGCAGGCCCTGATAGACGATGATCTAATAACAGTCTATATTTATTAGAAATTACTAGATTTAACTAAGAAAAGGAAAAGAATATGCACATTAGGGTTTATGATGATCTAACGATCTAGATTTACTACAAATTATGAGATTAATTGAAAAAAATACGTCCCATTAGAATTTTTTTTATGATCTAACATACCAGATTTTCCAGAAGTTACAAGATTGATCTTGAAAATAAAAAAATTTGTTCCATTGGGTTTTATGATTTATCAAATGGTCTAAATTTAATGGAAAATTCATACCACATACAATAAATAAACTCCTGATGTTTTTATTAGAGAGAAAGAGAGTATAAAAGTGGTTAGGGTGATTTGATAAAAGCGTAGAATTCCTGATACAAAATTGTATTCTATATTTTAGGAGCATATTTTGGAAACGGTTGGAGAAGCTCAATAAATAAACTCCCATCTTTTTTTTAGCCACTTGGAAAACTCATTGATTTACCAATTGATTTTTTGAAAAATATTGGAGATGCTTTTATTAGGAGTTTTTTTCCCCAAAAGCTAGAATTTGTTTTGTATGGTAAATGTATTGTATTATATTGATATAAAAGTTTTTATGTGTCCAACAGTACCGGGAAAAAGTACCCTGCACATTTCTGCAGACGTGGTACACGGAACAAGCGGAGAGGAACAAATGCTACGACCTTATTCTTCCACCGTTCCTTTATTCAGCCTTTATAAGACGCGCATGGACCCGGCCCATCGCGGTCCAGCCGCGCTTTACCCCGCGCCGAGCTGGCCACTCCACTCGCCAGCAGCCGAGCTGCACGCCGGCTGCCCAGCCCAAAAAAAAACCCCGGCAGCTTGACCAACGGCGCTTGCTCGCTCGCTCCCCCTCGCTTCCTCCGCCAGCCAGCCAGCCGGCGGCCACCCTCCACGCATCTGCATCCGCATGCTCTCCACGCGGCGGCGCCGGCCTGCGCGGTGCTGTGCCGCCTCCCGTCGTCCTTCTTTTCTCACGCCGGCGGCGGCAGGCGCTCCCTCCCCGCCGTCGCGAGGCCCCGCGGCGTCGTCTCTGCCGGGCCGCTGCGGACACGCGCAGGTACTCGGTGTCGGTGCGGGCGTGAGAGTGCTTTGTACGCTCACTTTTAAGATCGTTCTCCGCTAGCATATCTGCATATGTTGTTTATCTTACTGTTAGGTGCTGCTCTTAAATAGCATTGGGATCATGCATTTAAGAGTGTGCTATTTTTGTAGCAACAGTCTAACAGATTACAGATGGGCTTCGGGAACCTGAGGAATTGGGATGGTACTTGAAATATGAGCTAGGTGTATCATGTATGAGTGGTCAGCCACATGGTTTCCGTTCAAATCAGTCCAATGTGCAGTGCCCAGAATTTTGGCTTTATGAGAATCTTGTGTGCAGAATTTCGGGGCTCGTGTTGGGATGGCAAATTCACCCAGTTTATGGTTGAGACTTGAGTTTAGATCGGTGTGGGTGGGTCCGACTGGGTTTTCCATTTGATTCTGGCGTTTATATGAAACACGAGGAAACAGTTTCATGCTCCAAAAAGTCTATGTTAAGTTCTTAACAAGGGCCGCATCCCTTTTTCTTTATGCTAGGAGCTCACTAATGCTGACAATAACTTGTTGGCTTTGCAGTTCTAATTAATTATTTTTACTGCAGTGTTATTTCCTTAACTTATCTTGGCTGCATGATCAGCCTTTCATTTGATTCTTCAGATTTCTTTTTTTTTTATCATTCTTCTTTCTGTATGTGGTGAACTTGATTTTACTCCATGGCTTTTCATGTGCATTGATAGCCATATCAGGGATCATTATGGATCGCGTGGTGGTCACTCATTTTACAATATTATGTTTCCGCAGAAACAGAAAGGCACTTAGCTTTATAGTTAACATTTTGTCAATTTAGATATGACGCTGCAAAAGCAAGAATATCTGATTTGGTTCTTGTTTGCTTCAATTTTCAACCTTAGTTCGAACAAAGGCAATCTTCAGTGATGGCGTCCCTGAAACGAGCAATTCTCCACATGTGGTGTGCTTTGGTGAATTGCTAATTGACTTCGTCCCAACTGTCAATGGCTTGTCACTGGCAGAAGCACCAGCCTTCAAGAAGGCTCCTGGGGGTGCTCCTGCCAATGTTGCAGTTGGAATAGCTCGTCTTGGTGGCTCTTCAGCTTTCATTGGAAAGGTAAAATTATTGTATTTGTACTGTTTAACAGAACAAAAGGGGTTATGAGCAGTGTGCTTTTCTGTTTGAAACCTTTCAAAGGCAAAATACATGATAGGATTTAGTTAGTATCTCTTTTACGTTCTCATACGTTTAAAGTAGTGCTTTCACCGAACCATGTTTCATTTGAATTGTTGGTTATAGCTTGCAGCGTGCAGCCTATCCTTTTCATGTTCAAAATAGACCAGAGTCTTGTTTGTCGTCATTATGTAATTTTGTTCTCCTGGAGTTTTTCACTTTGTAGGTTGGTGATGATGAATTTGGCTACATGCTAGCTGATATATTGAAGCAGAATAATGTAAATAATCAAGGATTACTATTTGATCCTCATGCTAGAACAGCTTTGGCATTTGTGACACTCCGAAGTGATGGTGAACGTGAATTTATGTTCTATCGTAATCTAAGTGCTGATATGCTACTTGAAGAAAAAGAACTTGACCTTGATCTTATATGGAAGGTATGGAAGTACATTCCGTTGCCGTTCCAATATCTATGCGTCTCAACTACTATTGATTTCACCATGGCTAAATTAATGTAATCTGATCATGTTATTTATGCTAGGCAAAAATATTCCACCATGGCTCGATAAGTCTTATAACTGAGCCCTGTAAAACTGCACATATTGCAGCTGCCAAAGCTGCTAAAGATGCTGGAGTACTTGTTTCATACGATCCAAATTTGAGGCTTCCATTGTGGTCATCAGCTGAGGATGCTAGAGATGGTATCCTAAGCATATGGGAAACCGCTGATGTTATCAAGGTAGCAAGTCTGTAAATTGTGGTTCATCTGTACAGGCAAATCTTGTGTTGATTTGCGCATTTTGTGTCTCTTTTGAAACAGATAAGTGAAGAGGAGGTTTCCTTTCTCACAAATGGGGAGGATCCTTATGATGATGCCGTTGTAAAGAAACTTATCCACTCAAACCTGAAGTTGCTTCTTGTCACTGAAGGTCCAGATGGCTGTAGGTATTACTAAGGTAATTTTACACTTATGATGTAGAGGGTAATATTATTTTTTTGTTGCTTGAATACACCATTTCCTTTTTTTTTTTTCTCCATGACCATGAACACACTTTTTGTCCAATAAAAATTCACATGGCGTTGGATATTATCTTAATGAAACTATTTATTTCAATTCTAGTCAACAATCTTTTAAAAATTCTTAATTACGTTTACTTGCTAACAGTGCCTTATGTACATAGGTCTGTAAAATGTTGTTTACAGTACATCTTGTGAAATAACAGGACTTTAGTGGTAGAGTTGGTGGACTTAAGGTAAGTGCTGTTGACACAACTGGTGCTGGCGATGCCTTTGTTGCTGGAGTGCTATCTCAATTAGCCACAGACTTTTCACTGCTCCAGGTATGACTGCACTTGCTTTGTTACCTCCTTTCAGAAGTAGGTGAAACTATGTTTCAGGTGTTCCTGCAGTCTGCTGCAGCACCTTCCTCAATGCTTTTACTACAGTTTTTTTTAGCATGAAAGCGGCAGGTGCCCTGCCTTTGCATTAAGTAGAAGTTTGAGAGTTACAACAGTTTACATGGACATTATAGGGTCCCAGTATTTAGCCGAAAAAGAAAAACAGGAAAGAAGAAAACAGCTTCCTGCACTCTGCAGTTTTTAGAGATTTACATGAACAGCTTTTACTACAGATGGATGCAAGAAATAATTTTTCGAAGGACCTAAAATGACACTTATGTTTAGTACATTTACTTCTTCACATAGAGTCAAAAGATATTTAGTTTGGATAATTACAGAGAAAGGCATATTGAATCTGTGTGCAACTGAAGAGAATTTTAGCATTTGTATACCAAACTCACGTTTCTCTTATCTAAATACTAAAATCTCCCAATTCCCAGATGCTACAAATTTGCAAGCTGTGCAAATTATAGAATAAATATTGTTTAGTTTAGTGATACCTAATACCTGGATCTTCGATTTTGAATTTAAAGAATAGGGTCATTGTAAACTCCATGTTTGAAAAAAAGGCAAATGAGCATGAAAAGAACTATATGGTTTTTGTACTTAAGATTTTTAGAAAATGGGATGAATCCAAGTACGCCATGTCACAAGCTTTACTCATTAAGACCACCTAGTTTGCACCTGAAGCAAGGAAGCACCAAACCGTGTTTCACTGAGGCTGGAAGGAACACGTATGTTACAAATGGTAGTCATGCTCTTATATGAGAGACATGTTGCTCGGTCACTTAGCTCTTGCTAATCTAGAGAACACCAATAAACAATTCGAAGAACGTATAAAGTTTCAGTACTTGTCTCTTGAGATAGGCAACATGCTGATGCACGGGTATATATTTTTAGTTGGCACCCCCTGCATACAGAAACAATTGCTACTTGTTCCTGTTGGGGGCATTTTTGTTTTTCATTCAGGCTACCTTGGTATTTCTTTGTTTTCCACACAAACTGAACTATGCACTGGTGCTTTGAAACCACTCATATTTTCCTTGTGGCTGAAACAGGACGAAGGTCGATTACGAGAAGCCCTGAAGTTTGCAAACGTCTGTGGAGCACTCACTGTGACAGAGAGGGGCGCTATTCCAGCGCTGCCCACCCGACAACAAGTGCTCGATGCGTTGACCAATGTTGTCGCTTGAAGTAGCCGTGCCGTGAACTCCTACTTGGTGTGTATAGTAATGTGGACTGGCCTGAGCACCATGTCGATAGATTATAGGCGTGATTTTCCTTTGCACACATACCACTTGGCATTTTTGTTGGTGCACGCATACCAAGCCCCCAGCCAAACCAAGAAGTAACCCTGGTGCAAGAAGGCTATTTCCTGTCGGATTTTGGCGTGTGAAGTTGGATGTTGGGACATCGTGTTAACATTTTATTTGTGGGAGTGTGTGTTGTAATGTTGCTGGGGAAGAATAACATACTAGACCATGAGACAACGGAGCAGTTTGGCTCCTGAAAACATGAGTTATGCATAAGTGATTGAGTACATATTGGACTCAATTTGGGTTGCTTCTCTATCATCAGGCATTCAGGCCTGCCTCTCGCTCCAATATTTCCTCCAATCAACAGCTAGGCAACAGCCCAATGTTTGGCACATATGAGTACATGAGATAGCATATTGTTTTCTTTTTATTTGTGTATATATATCTTTTCTGTAGCATTTGGATTTTTGTTCCAAGGGGAGGAGAAAGGACTGAGGAGAATGAATGAAAACCTGTAACAGCTCACTCTGCAGACACCGTTCCTGAAGTTCAGGACGGCCTTGATTTGGGCGAGGCGGTTTGCTGGATGCTCTGCAGTTTCAGTGCCCACCCGTTGGGACTCGGCGGTCCACTGCAGGAGCGCAGTGGCTGAGACAGGTATAGTACCCCCCCCCCTCGAAATAGAGTGGTTGGTCTAGAACAGTTTGACCTACTCCAATCCACTCCGAAGAATGTTGGCCCCGAATCATGGGATCCTGTCCACCTAGACGACGATTACCCTAAGGGCAGTCTCAATGGCTAGTTTCACTATACTGTTTCCAACATGGCCACATCATCTAGAGTGGGATGAAACGATGAATGAAACAACCTTCACAGTGCAGCGTTTCATTTTACCAATTCCAAAGCTAAGTAAAGCATTTAATTGCTGCAGGATGCTGGGATCATATGCACCATATGCATCGTGTAGCCACTTCCACACATTCAGTAGCTGCTTTCTCATCAAAGGCAAAATTGGGGGCATGGCCCTCCATCTCCTTGCGGTGGCCGTCTTTGCTTTATACTGAACTTCGGCACAATAGCAGGGAGGAAGTTAGCACTGCCCCGGGCGGAACTCAATGGCGGTCTTTGGGAGGGAAGTCATCGGCGGCGGCGAGTTGGAGATCGGCGGCGCAGCCGAGGCCGCCGTCTTCATTCCTAGCCGAGTACCCCCCGTGTCCTTTCCCTCGTGTGCCAGATGGGCGTCATTGGGTGCTCCCAACCGGATCCATCGATGCAGGATCTCGACCGCTCTCAACAGGTGCCGCCCAGAGCTCCACGAGAAAGGTTGATATACGGGAAGGGAAAGGAGGGGGTGGTGGGGAAGGCATGAACGACGGGGCGGGAAGGATTGGGGATGGGGCGGGAAGGATTGGAGTCGCGCTCCTGGAGCACGGGATCAGTCGGATGAAATTTTCCTCCTCAACGCTGGTTTCACGCGATTTCCAACGACTTGGAAACGGAGCTCACTCGTGTCGTGGTGATGAAACATTTCCCCTCTCTCTCCTCCTCGTTTCATGCAAAAACTCCAAATCTGTTGATGTGTCACCCTATTTAATGTAACAACCCGGGTTTTTGGAGAAGCCAAAAATATGAACTTTTAAAAATTTTTCTGCAATATGTGAAGCATGTAGATGCTAGGTCAAACAAAGAACAATTTATAAATAAATTGTTGCATACATATAGTGATGCTAGTGATGCTTGTAGGAGCTTGCCAGAGTTCCTTATTTGGTTTAGGGTTTTGTGTTGGAGAGCACAAGTCCGTAGCGAATCCTTTTGACTCCTTCTGGAATCTCTCATGAACCCTTGACCTAATTTCTATAATCAACCAACTATCTTTATCAACTCAATGCCCGTGGATTGCCAACCCTTGACATGGACCCCACTACCCCTAGTTGACCTCTAGTGGACCCCACTAGGAGGTGTACAAGTTGGCGACACCTGTATACAATATAGGAGCCTTGGTTTATTTAGAAAATAGGAAAGCCAATTTGGCCCAAGCACATGACCAACCAAATTTAAACAATGCAGTCGGCCCACTGGCGCCTCCTCAGCCCATGACCACCTCACCTCCCAGCCGGCCTCTCCCACTTGAGCTGGAGGCCCAACCCATCACCCCATCCTCTTCTGGCCCACGCGAAGCAGTAGCAAAACTAGACCAGGCCGGCCCGGCTCCTCCCCTTCGGCCCGTTCGCGCGCGCACAGCCAAGCGACTCAGTAAGATCGGCCCAGCTGCCCCCCTTGCGGCAGGAGCCCAATCGAGCCCCCCTCTCCTTGCCCAGCCGGCCCAAGCCGCCCCGGAGAAACCTAGCGCGAGCAGATGCTCCTCAAGCGCGCCGCCCGCTGCGCCAGACACCAGCCCCCCACACCAGCGTCCCGACCGCGCCCCTTGGCTCAGGTGCCCGTGATTTGCGCCGCGTGTCCCTCTCCCTAGCACGGACGCTGAGGATGGACGACACCTCCTAGAAGCCCTAGTTGGCGCGCTATAAAGATCCTCGACGATGCCTCGCTCTGGAGCTCCTTCCCGCCGCCGCCGCCGACTTCACCACGGCCTCGTCCCAAGCCTCGCCACGCTGGAGGCGCACCACGGCAGCGCCGCCTCCCTGCTCCGCGTCGCGACCAAGCCACCGGCAGAGCCGTCCCCGCCTTCGCCGCCGAGAGCCACAGCCATGGCGACGCCGACCGCGATCCCCTGCTCCTTCCCCACCTGCGACACGAGCACGTCGACGACCACGCCGTCGACACCGCCGTCATCTGCCTCGAGCCTGGCCGTCACCGCACCGCACCGGCCCGCTCTGCTTCTAGCCACCGGCTTTGGAACGCCGTGACGTCGTCCGTGGCCGCGTCTCTGCGAGCGTGTCCGCGACAACCACCGCAGGCCGAGCCCGAGGACCCCGTGACGTCCACGCAGCTGCACCACCTTGTCGACGTCCACCTCGAGCCTCTACTCCGTGCCTCGTCCTTGACCACGGCCACGCCAAGCCCGATGGTGAGCACTAGACTCCCAAGCCCCACCTTTGTTCATGCCTTTGTTGCCTGCCTGTCCCAGCCTTCGACGCCGGCTTGACCCCGGAGCATTCCTGGAGTCCGCAGCGCCTCGCCACGCCGGCAGCCACGACCACCTCGCCCCAAGCCTGTAGAACTACCATGCCATGCCAAGCCGCTCCATCATCCTCTGCTCCAGGCCGGTCTGCGTTCGTGAGCCCCCTAGACACGCGCACGCACGCACCTACGTACACGGCCAAGGCCCTATCTTGCTAGGCCGATGGCGCCTAGGAACATAGCCGCCACCATGCCCTGCCATAGCCGTTTCGACCATCTCCGGCCACCTCGTGTCACGAGGATGCGCCGTCGAGCTTCACCGTGACCCAACGCACCCTGCCGACTCACCGGATGGGGAGGAAGTCCTACGCTGCTCTGTTTCTTCCCCATAGCACGACGTCGCGACGTAGGAGCCCTGCCTCTCCGTCAGGGTGGACCTTGTCAACGACGCGTCGACGCCCCTACTTCAACCCGACCACTTCGCTGATGGACCGCAACATCTTCCCGATGTCGACCGTTGTCATCTTCTATGACCGGCCTTCGAGCCGTGTAACTCTATGTGCAGGGAAGAAGTCGGCCCCTTGCGGCGTCTTTCGCGAACCATGGCAGAGCTCCGTCCAACAGCCGCCACCTCTTCGGCAATCTATATCCTTCCCACTTTTGTGAACGTGTGTCTATCTTTCATTCGCACATGACCATCATCTATGTATCATCTATCTATCCGTGATTAGTAAATGCCTGTGCCGACCATCGCCGCTGGTCTACTCCTTTGTTTTTATTTCCCTTCATGACGATCTATCTATTACGCGTGTCTATCTCTTGTACCTCGAATTCTTTTCCCAAGTGCTTCGATTAGGTGCTACATCTTCGTCGCACGATCACCCGGATGAGCCGAAATCGTTGGACGACCACAGGTGTGACCAACTACAAGCTCCGCCAAGATCACGATGCCGAGCAACGTGGGTCACGTTCTTCCACTTCGACAAACCTCGGTGAGCCACCACCGTGCCCCTCTTCCCAACCCCGATTTTGCTTACCGATCATGGCGTTCCAACCATGGAACGCGTAGACCGAGGCCACCTCTGGCCTTTGGACACACAAGCACACACACACACGTGACTAACCCAAGCCAAATCGAACCACCGGAGTTCCAAGAACGCCGGTGTGGTTGACGACCACCATTGAAACATTCTCTAAAGCCATGTCTCGTCCACCGTGAACCACGCCCGAATGAGTCAAGCCTTGATTGCCATCTCTGACGTTGCGACGGAGCTCTACCGCTCCTAGACACGCCTGCACTCACTAGCACAAGAACGGACTTAGCCAAACAGATCCACAGCGTAGGAGACACCGGAAAGGACTTGTCGCCTGTAAAACCCGTCGTGGCCAAGCCATGTCACGGCGAAGAGTTACCATGACCTCATCGTGAGCCCCGAAGCCGTAATTGGACCATGTGGTATTGATCGCCGCATCATGGACTGCAGGATTCCCTTTTTGGTTGCCCTGACGGTTCCGTGGAACCCTGTGCCCGTGTTTCACCACTGTTCCGGCTACCTCGAGTTACGAGAACACGCCGTCGAGATCTACCGGGACCCACACTAAAGGCCTTTTGAAGTAGTCACATTGCACAACTCATGGACAAAGCCCTGGCATACACCACATGACCTAGCACCGTGCCGTCATTGTATTGAGTTTGTTCCCGACATTCCGGCTGCCTCATTAAACAAGGGCGAGCCGTTGAGAAACCGAGTGATCCCTAGCATCGTACCGATGACAAGTGGAGTCTTTCCAATGTTTCGGTCACCTTGCCTTGCAAGTGCGTGCCGTTGAGGAGATATCATGACCTCGTCTACTACGAG